TTTACCAATTTACTTTCACATTTACTTATACGGAAACATTAATTGAGTACCAAGAGAAAACACTCTTAAAATAGTTTTATGATAAACGACCAAGACAGACGTAAAGTATTGCAAAATTTACTTTAATGTAGGTACTTTAATTTTTTAAACAAAACGCACCTTGAATTGCCGTTAAGTTTTACTCACGGCTTATTATTACTTTTTCAAACAAGCGTATTGCACAATTCAACATATTTGTTTTAAATATCCCTTATCACAAGGGCTGCAAAAACTATCAAAAAGAATAATAGTTTTACTTACGATTCCTTCACTTTTGACACGTAAAGTACCTATTTGGAATAACACGAACGGCAAAAACCGTTAAAATAAAATAGTTTTACTTACAGTTTTATCACTTAATAATAATAAAACCTTTAAAATCTCACAACGATCGCTCAGATTGAGGACGTGTTGCTTCGACGGGAGTCAGAACGCCAATGAGTTAATATGGCGCTGTCAAAACTTAGGAAAACAAAAATGGCCGCGCTTCTGCCAGGTGTCGCCACTGGACCGGATATAAGGTGAATAAAAGTACGGAAACTGATGGTAATTCGAAGGGGAAACGGAAGTGCTATCTCAATATAAAGCTTTCAGTGACGGTCAAGTAGTTTAATAATAAACTTTGTATCGACGTAGTATTGCCTTCAAGTTACAATTCAGAATGACTCCAAATTAGTGTTGAGTAGGACTTACAAGAGGCGGTACATTTGTCCCGGACATGACGTCAAAATGTAAGAGCGACTCAAAATTTTAAAATGTACTACTTCACATTAAATGTCGCGATAGTCGCGTCTCGTTACTCACTCACTCTTCGTAAGTCTGAGAGAGATCGAGGCATGGCATTTCATTTAAGTCCTCTACGCACTATCCATCTGTATCTCTATCTCTTTTACGTAAATAGCGCTGTCCTGCATGCTGGATCCAGCAAGATTGATAGTGCGTAGAGGAGGTGCTACTCGTGCACACAAACGTAATGTCAAGCTTCTGTACGCCTCAATGTCATATTTGTACTCGTCACTTCAAATGTATTGCCGAGCTTCAGTACGCCTCGCCTCATTTGAAGTGGGACATTGTACTGGCTCAGTACAAAAAAGAGGCTACTCTTACAAACTCTTTTTCAAGTCGTGTCCTACCCAACACTACTCCAAATAATGCAGGCGCAATATTTATATCGGCGTGAACGAAAGTCTCAAATGTTCCCGTCAAACGCGCCGCCCGAAATTTTTAGAAAAGCGGCAAAAATAAAAAACGCGGCTTTTCTTTGACAAGTACCGTGCCGTCCTTTGATAAAGCCGCCTTTTGCCGCTAGCAGAGTGTTATTTTATTACGTAATAAAATTTTGTAGTTTAGTTAAGTACCTACAAATTAAAAAACAATTTCTTCTCGAGATCTACTCAAAAAGCACTCCGGATCGACCCTTTGAGCACCCCTGGGGTAGACGATATATCACGTGGTGAGAGGCAGCAGGCAGGCGAAGGCTGTCTCGGCACTTGTCCGTTGAAGCTTCACTTTTACAATGTGTCCCAACAAACATTTTTTTTTGTTCAAATTGGGCCTAATATAAAATAACAATAAAAAAACTACTTTTATTATTATTTTATGTTTCCATTCTTCCTGTTTATTTCACAACAATAGATCAAACAACTGGATACGTACGTGTGCCACTAACACGTTTTTTTTAACACAAGCCAAAGTTGACAATCCTAACGCGACCGCCGAGCGTAAGTATGAAAATTGAAGTACATACATGAGATTACCTTCTGTACTATCATTTTTTTGTGTTCCGATTCAGTTTTTGATGACCTCCGTGGCCGAGTGGTTTGTACATCGAGTTTCATGGTGTCGCCGACTCCCTGTGTGTCCCGGGTTCGAACCGGGTGGGGGCAGATGTTTGTGTGATGAATTCATTTGTACTCCAGTCATGGATGTTTAATATGTATTTCTATTTAAATATACTTATATATTTACAGTTAATGTATTCCATCCGTTACCCTAGTATGCCTTAACACAAGCCTTACAGTACTTAGGTACTTTGGGGCTAGGAAAATTGGTGTGACTGTTTAAAACAAGAAAAAGTTTAGGTTGAGGAGTCGCAATTGAATGAATGATCAAGTCGATTGCTATAGTCTGTCTAATATGAGTTGTTACTTGGTTGCAGAATGTACTAATTATATTAGTTGCTAAAGCTTTATAAATTGAGTTAGTTTCTAATAACATTTTAATTTAACAAGGAATGTGGCACCACAAATCGGATAACACCTTTTATCTAATACAATTCAACCCTTTGAGCACCCCTGGGGTAGACGATATATCACGTGGTGAGAGGCAGCAGGCAGGCGAAGGCTGTCTCGGCACTTGTTCGTTGAAGTTTCACTTCTACAATGTGTCCCAACGAACATTTTTTTTGTTCAAATTGGGTCTAATGTAACAATAACATTAGAAAACTACTTTTATTATTGTTTTATGTTTCCATTCTTCCTATTTATTTCACAACAATAAATCAAGCAACTGGATACGTACGTGTGCCACTACCATGATTTTTTTAAACACAAGCCAAAGTTGACAATCCTAACGCGACCGCCGAGCGTAAGTATGAAAATTGAAGTACATACATGAGATTATCTTCTGTACTATAATTTTTTTGTGTTCCGATTCAGTTTTTGATGACCTCCGTGGCCGAGTGGTTTGTACATCGAGTTTCATGGTGTCGCCGACTCCCTGTGTGTCCCGGGTTCGAACCGGGTGGGGGCAGATGTTTGTGTGATGAATTCATTTGTACTCCAGTCATGGATGTTTAATATGTATTTCTATTTAAATATACTTATATATTTACAGTTAATGTATTCCATCCGTTACCCTAGTATGCCTTAACACAAGCCTTACAGTACTTAGGTACTTTGGGGCTAGGAAAATTGGTGTGACTGTTTAAAACAAGAAAAAGTTTAGGTTGAGGAGTCGCAATTGAATGAATGATCAAGTCGATTGCTATAGTCTGTCTAATATGAGTTGTTACTTGGTTGCAGAATGTACTAATTATATTAGTTGCTAAAGCTTTATAAACTGAGTTAGTTTCTAATAACATTTTAATTTAACAAGGAATGTGGCACCACAAATCGGATAACACCTTTTATCGAATACAAATTGAAAGCAGTTCTTATTAAGAACTTATTAGGAGCCCAATCAGTTCTGCAATAAGAGAGCAGTAAGCTCCCAGTCTAAATTAAAAAGAAGTTAACGATTGGCAAAACAATTGATGATAAGTTTATACTTAACATCCATCTATAATAATAAAAATATGATAAACAAAAAGATGTATTAAATTAAAGGAGATTGCTCAAATTGGCCTAAATGCACAAAAAATATTGTCATACACGGTAATTCTTGACGTAATTTATAATTTAATTTACAGTCATTAGATTTCAACGGACACCTTTGTATATATATTTACTTTAAGAAGGACTTTTAATTTTAACCGGTTTGGAAAACATACGAATCATTTTTAATGGCTATGGGTGTAGTAACATTCAGCAAAAGACTGATCGAAGTTGTTTATATAACAATAAAAACAAATCTATTATGTAAAGATCGATAAAATAAATCATTTATTTTTATTACAATGTATTAATATCCACAACTATATTATCATTTTCACTAGATGCAAATGTGCTCAGACAATTATTATTGTAGAAGGTAGGCGACATCATAAAGTCTATTGCCATACATTTTTCGCCAAACACCTCCATAAACACATTATAATCTGTTTATATGTTAGACTTTAAGGTATCTATCTATGGGCCTACGTTCCCTGACTATAAATTAATAAATAAATAAAATTATAAGGTGTGATACACTAAAAATCTAAAATATGGTTATCTTAAAAACATAACAAAAATAATGAAGCTACTGAATATATGGCTATAGAACCTAAATCTCTTAGCTTTATTTGGTTAATGAGAGTTTAAAAATTCTCTCTAAACTGTGGCTCATTCACAATCATCACACAGTTTCTGTCACAGAGTACCTACCTTATTATAACCGGAAATGACACCTGATTTTAAAAGTTACTCTTATGCATTAACTTTAAAAACAGGCAACTATCTGTTTATCTACATGTTCTATATATCTGAATCTAATCCATAATTTCGGTACTTGGCTTGATTTCCCTAGTTTACTATATAACTTATTTGTTTTTTATTATTTTAATATGTTCAGTGTATATGGCTTATAGAAGTTCTCAGGGGTGTCCGTCAATAATATTCGTTTCTACAGTAATTTATATATAATTTCGAATCTAGGAAACAATTTTTCATGAATATTGCATGTCATGTCGTTCAACTAATGTATTAGAAAATTTCTAACCTAATAAAAATGTCTTAGAAGAAAACATTTAACACTTTAAATATAAGTCACTACTTAGACGAAGTAATTGCTTAAAATATCCACAATATATTGTAGTGATGTGCAAATACGGAACCCTACATTGCGCGTGGTACGACACGTACTTGGCTGGTTTTTACAATTGTTATCGTTTTAATGATATTAACGAAATACCCCAGTTTTGACCTTTGACCGCGAGGCAACTTTTTTCTAATTACGGCAATGGGGAATTTTGAAATGTTATTCTTAATTATGTTTTGAGCAATTTTACTCACTTCCAGTTTTCCTTTAAAAGTTCTGTAAAAAGTGTGCGACAGCATAATATGTCCATTTTTTAGTTTAACTCACAATATAACCGTTTTCCTCAAATTAACGCGGGTGACACCGCAAGGGACCTCAAGTTAGATAAAAACCCATACTTTGGTATGTAATGATTACATTCTTGACCTACGATAACCTATGAGAGGCTAATTAGTAGTCTCTTAGCAGGAAAGAATCGAGACTTATTAATAAATAATAAAAATTTTGAAGTACCAATTTCCCCATTCGCTTTGATTAATAAATCTGATATCTGGCCGTGATAAATATATAAAGAATAAAAACCTAAACGTTAGTATAGCCTACGCTTATTGCAAGATGCAGACGTTTCTGAGGTTCCTTTTGGTCGCCTTGTTTTGCTCCTTGAGATACGGTGAGTTCATTTAAGAAATAAAAATATTTCTTTTTGTTTTTCACTTATTATTTGTTATGTGGATATTAAGTATAAACTTATCATCAATTCGCATCCTTCGCTATCCGGGCGCATGCACTGACCATTATGCTACCACGGCCCTATTAGCCGCGTCGATATTTTAATAGCCTTAAGCTACAAGGCCGCGCCATCTCTTCGCATTGTAGGTAACCCACAATGTCAAATGAATACTTTTTCAAGTATTAAACATTTGAAAGAAGAGATAGCAATTATAGTTATGATTTTATTTATTTTTTAAGCATTTAACTGCTAGATGTTTAAATCTAAAGAAAAGTTTACTAGAAAAAAATCCACGCGACCCGGCAGCGGACGGGACGGTCCCGTCCGCTGCCTGGTCCGCGTGGATTTTTTTTATTTTACATATTTTTATTATTATAGATGGATGTTAAGTATAAACTTATCATCAATTGTTTTGCCAATCGTTAACTTCTTTTTAATTTAGACTGGGAGCTTACTGCTCTCTTATTGCAGAACTGATTGGGCTCCTAATAAGTTCTTAATAAGAACTGCTTTCAATTTGTATTAGATAAAAGGTGTTATGAGATTTGTGGTGCCACATTCCTTGTTAAATTAAAATATTATTAGAAACTAACTCAATTTATAAATCTTTAGCAACTAATATAATTAGTACATTCTGCAACCAAGTAACAACTCATATTAGACAGACTATAGCAATCGACTTGATCATTCATTCAATTGCGACTCCTCAACCTAAACTTTTTCTTGTTTTAAACAGTCACACCAATTTTCCTAGCCCCAAAGTACCTAAGTACTGTAAGGCTTGTGTTAAGGCATACTAGGGTAACGGATGGAATACATTAACTGTAAATATATAAGTATATTTAAATAGAAATACATATTAAACATCCATGACTGGAGTACAAATGAATTAATCACACAAACATCTGCCCCCACCCGGTTCGAACCCGGGACACACAGGGAGTCGGCGACACTCGGCCACGGAGGTCATCAAAAACTGAATCGGAACACAAAAAAATGATAGTACAGAAGGTAATCTCATGTATGTACCGCAATTTTCATACTTACACTCGGCGGTCGCGTTAGGATTGTCAACTTTGGCTTGTGTTAAAAAAAACGTGTTAGTGGCACACGTACGTATCCAGTTGTTTGATCTATTGTTGTGAAATAAACAGGAAGAATGGAAACATAAAATAATAATAAAAGTAGTTTTTTTATTGTTATTTTATATTAGGCCCAATTTAACAAAAAAAAATGTTTGTTGGGACACATTGTAAAAGTGAAGCTTCAACGGACAAGTGCCGAGACAGCCTTCGCCTGCCTGCTGCCTCTCACCACGTGATATATCGTCTACCCCAGGGGTGCTCAAAGGGTCGATCCGGAGTGCTTTTTGAGTAGACCTCGAGAAGAAATTGTTTTTTAATTTGTAGGTACTTAACTAAACTACAAAATTTTATTACGTAATAAAATAACACCTTGCTAGCGGCAAAAGGCGGCTTTATCAAAGGAAGGCACGGTACTTGTCAAAGAAAAGCCGCGTTTTTTATTTTTGCCGCTTTTCTAAAAATTTCGGGCGGCGCGTTTGACGGGAACATTTGAGACTTTCGTTCACGCCGATATAAATATTGCGCCTGCATTATTTGGAGTCATTCTGAATTGTAACTTGAAGGCAATACTACGTCGATACAAAGTTTATTATTAAATAGTACAAAATTAGTGCAGCGAAGAAATCTAAAACGTATCATTTTAATAAGAGTATTTTCAAAAAAGTTAGGGTTCCGTATGAAAACTTCGATAACGTAACCCAGGGTGTGAAAAATATACCAAAAAATAACCTTATATCGCTTACGCTGCGGTCATTAACAGTAGAGCAAAATGATGTACTAAAGTTTTATAAAGGACATCAATATCTACAAAAAAGTCCGTAAATTTCTTATTTAATCATTGTCATGGTTTCTTGCTTACATAGTTCATATTATTTTCAGGTCTCGTGGTAACACAAAGCAATTGCAGTTGTGGCTTCGGGAAGCAGGTAAATAAATAAATAATATGCTGTTTTCTCATGTTTTCACGCACACCAATACATATTACGTGTATAGGTAATATTATAAAATAAGAGTAGATAGTTTTTATCCTAAAAATATCCTATAAGGGGGTTAAAAGAGGGGTGGAGGTCTGCATGGGAAACAAAAATATACTAATATGAAAGAATATTAAAAAAAACTAAAAGAACGCTTTTATTTACTGCACTCAAAAGCCAAAAATAAACAAAATATACTAACAATAAATTAAAATATATTATTTTAAGTGCAGTAAATAAAAGCGTATTTTTGTTATTTTTTTAAACTTAATTTATTTTACTCTTTTTAGTTTCAGTCATCAGGAAAAATTCATAGAATATGTTAAGACAAATCTAATGAGCCCAAACTCGATATGTTTACTAGTAGGCAGTCCAAGTTTCCATCAGCCACCTTCCAATCCCATCACCAGACCAGCTCGATGTTACCATAATAATGTATTGTCATCTAATGTAGATAAAATTGCCAAGTTCCATTATAATTAGAAGTGCGTGTAATTCAGATTCTTAGATTTTATGACACAGTTACAAGTTGACCTCATAAAAGCGTGTTAATAAAAAGCGGTAGCCGCCTTCGCGTACTTAAATGAACGCTAAAGGCGTAACAGACATTTCTTCATTGACGCTGATCCGTCCATAGGAGGTACGCTCACTCCACTCCCATTATCCGCCAAGCGATATATTGAAAAAAAATCTGCTAATTTTATAAATGTAAAGAAAATTTTACTAGAAAAAGACTTTGCTGTCCAGGTATCAACCAACCGGTTTGGGGAAGATGCAGGTTCAATACTGGCGTATCCTATTCCATCCATAGGGAATGCCTTTACACCAGCAGTGGAGACATTAATAGGCTGATGATGAGAATAGTTTTTTTTTTATGTTATAGGGGGCATACGAGCAGACGGCTCACCTGATGGTAAGTGATCACCGTCGCCCATGGACACTTGCAACACCAGGAGTATCACAAATGCGATGCCGGCCTTTAAGGAAGGAGTACGCTCTTTTTTTGAAGGTTCTTGGGTCGTATTGGTCCGGAAACACTGCTGCTGCGGCGACAACATATTCCACAGTTTTGTCGTACGTGGTAAAAAATTTCGACAAAAACGCACGGTTGTGGATAGCCATGCATCAAGATGATGGGGATGAAATTTTTGTCGCGATGTACGATGGCGAAATGCAGCAGCTGGAATTAATCCGAACAACTCCTCAGAACACTCCCCGTGATAAATGCGATAGAAGATGCAGAGCGAAGCTACATCCCTACGCAAAGCCAAAGGATCAACCTGATCGGAAAGGTCCCGGTCGTCGACGATTCGAGCCGCTCGGCGCTGGATGCGATCCAAAGAATGTGTGTAACGTGTAACGTTTTCTTCAGGGAAACGTTGGCAATGTGAACGGGTTCCCCATGATGGCGGCCCTGTTGGACCTGCAGAGCTACAAGATCAAGTGCGGCGGTGTCATCATTGACAAGCGGTACGTGCTCACCGCCGCGCATTGTCTCGGCGGGCAGACGCCGAGCACACTGGCCGTAGCCGTCGGGGAGAACGACGTCAATACGCCATGTACGTAGTAGGCGTTGCCTGAAAATTCATTAAAATGTTAAAACAGCTAAGTATTCTTCTGAACAGAATGCATAATAGGGAATAAACATGTTATTTAATTAAGCCCCCTTTTTTACATAAACTCGATTACTGTTATGTTGTCCCTCCACCAAGATTTGTTAATAAAAATAATTTTCGAGCAAGAAATTAATAATATAAAATTGCGAAAAAATTTGGGAAAATTCAAATATTTCCAACGCGATGAGAGCGGTCGTGACAGGATTAGTTACAAAAATTTCTAAAAAAAAGTAGAATGTTTCTTAGAATTTTGTTTTTGCTGCTAAATGGCTATAAACTGTGCATTTATGCATAAAATAAACAGCCTCATAACTTTAGCAGAAGACACTAAAAAACCGGCCAAGTGCTGGTCGGACTCGCATACCGAGAGTCCCGTACAAATCTGTAGGTATATAATAATTATTAAAAATGGTAATGTATTTTGAGTTCACGGGAAGCTTTCAATAGTTAAGTATGTTCAGTTGATCCTCGCAACTTGTTGCGTGCAAGTGTATGGGGCAGCGAAAACTGAATGAGTGTAACTCTGTGTTATCGCTAGTCATATGAACTCAATTGACGCGCGATCGCGCATGGCGGCACGCAACCATATGAACTGAGTGTTTAAACTTCCGTGGTTTAGAACTTACCCGTCCGTTAAAAGAGTTTTGTGCACGATAAACTTATCGTCTGGACCACCATAATAAGATTTTCTTTCATTTACAGACTGATCAGAATAACATTTATAAATCCATATTGCAGTTAACACCTCGGCCGCAGCATTTCACCGTATAGAGCAGTTCATTATACATCCGCTGTACTCGAGGTAAGTTCATTTTTACTTGTTCACTTATTTGGTCTTGATGGTTTTTCTAATTCTTTATCATCATTATCATCTTAACCGTACGACTTCCACTGCTGAGTCATGTCCTGTGCCACGCGCAACCATCGGCTTCCAGCGATCTTCACCAGATCGGTCCACCTGGTGGGGGTCTTACCACTGAGCGTCGTCCGGTGCGTGGTCGCCATTCGAGAACCTTTCCGCCCCAACGGCCATTGGTTCTCTTCATTATGTGTCTCGCCCACTGCCACTTCAGCTGAGCAATCCTTCGAGCGATATCGATTACTTTAGTTCTCTTTCCTAAGGTCTGATTCTATTACGCAGGGAAATACCAAGCATCGCTCTCTCCATTGCCCGCTGTGTGACCTTGAGCCTTGTCATGAGATCTATAGAAAGCGACCATGTTTCGCTTCCGTAAGTCATCACTGGCAACTCACTCTGGTCAAAGACTTTTGCCTTCAGGCACTGAGGTAATTTGGACGAACGCTGCCCATCCGAGTTGAATACGACAAGGTTCTCTTTCTCAAAGTTGGATTAACCTAACTGGACTGTCTGTAATGGTGGACAACTTTGAGTGGAGTATTCCCAATTTTAACTGGAGTGGGTACAACATGGACATTCGACATAATTTTCGTCTTATCCATGTTTATCTTTAGCCCTACTCTTTGGGAAACCCAGCTGATATCTTCAATCAATCTTATTATTAACTTTACCGTCAGGACTCATCCAGGTCCATTTCCGATTATGGGGCTTCCTGAAGAAGGAGCTCATCATAAAGATGTGCTTCTTCTCCATGAAGTCAACCAACATCCGACCTCTGGCGTTCCTTTGCCCAACTCCAAATTGCCTCACTCTCAACTCATCACCGCAAAGCTTCCCCAACCGAGCGTTGAAGTCCCCTATTACAACTGCGGAGTGGGTTTGTGGCTATGCATAGCTTTAGAGATCTCCTCATACATAGCCTCCACTTCTTCATCTGGATGTGTCGAGGTCGGAGCATAGACCTGAATGACATTCAACATATCTATTCGATATACTCACAATATAAGGTATCAAGAAGCTTATATACAACATTTATTTAAGATTTTGTTTAAGAATTTCTAAATTTTGTTCACTCTGCAACTACGTCCTACAAACTAAGTTAGAAACACACACACACACTTTACATCTTTATAATTAAGTGAGGTAGTATATGTAGTGTTTCTGTTGGTGAGTAAGGTTCCAGGGCTCCACGGGGTAGGAGATTGGGTCAGGGTAGGCAACGGCACGAGTGTATTGTATTGCAAGCGTGTTTAGGCTTTGTTGGCCGCTTACCACCAGGCAGGCCGCCATGTGTTTGTTTGTCACTATTTTAATATAAAAAAATATATGTTTATGTTTTTTCCACAGCTTAAACTACGACTATGATATAGCGTTACTACGGTTGAATAAAAGCCTCGAGTTCAGCCATAGAGTGGGACCAGTCTGCTTACCCTTCAAGTTCAAGAATACAACCATGCCTGGATCGAATCTGACTATTCTTGGTAACAATATCCCATGAATTAGTTTTTAAACATAATGCATGTACAGGTGCTAAAGCGTTCCTCATACCGCCAATAATAAAACCACTGACTTTTTAATGGTTACGAAACCAAAATCAACCGTCATGCACGAAATAAATAAATAAAAAGCAAAAGCAAACTAAGCAGTACGCTGTTCAACGTCAAGAGCTGAGTACGCGTTTGTGTGCTATTTGAGATTTTTTTGCGTTTTTTCATTAAAGTTACGTAATTTTGCTTACACTGACTATAGTTAGTTAGTTATTATTCGTTACATGTTATTTCATAGAGCAGCGCTTCGTGGGGCGGGTCTTCCGCTCAGTGCTGTTCTATGAAATGATGAAATGACATAAAAACTGCACGCGGAGCGAACGCCCGCTCCATGCTCCCGCTTAACGCAGCGCAGACTTTTAGGGTGACTAGCGCCATTGTATATTCTCAGACGAACTAACTGGGATTAGTATTTTATATAAAAAAAATGCAATAAAGAAGTATATTTTACCAAAAAAATACTTAATTGCGACCTCGCCTTTATTGCAATAGCTGCTGAATTGAGTACTAAACAGGGTGTTTCTTTTAGGGTGTCAAGACAGTGCGAGCTGATAGAGGAGTACCATACCTATCAATTTAACCCCCATGTATGTTCTACGATTTTTCGTAGTTTTCGAGTCAGAATTATTTTCCTTATTTTTTTAAGTTCAACGATGAGACAACTTTGAAAAAGTATAACTTCTTTTTGGTTCGATTAATCTTCAATGTTTTTTTTTAACAGTATGTCTATTGGTTATAGTTTTATAAGTAAAATTATCGCCGTCCTAACTTTAAGCTAAGATATAAATAATTTGATCGATACTAAATAAAAATGAATGAAGTAAAAAAATAATCTATTCTGTTTTCGTTGAACTTAAAATATAATGAAAAAAAATCTAACTTGAATATATATCGAATACGCCTCTGCTTACAATGGCGAAATTGCATAGATTTTTTCTATTCCAGGTTGGGGAACTCAGGATGTCTCCGGTGGACCCACATTCAATGTATTGAGGAAGGTTTATGGTCACATGATCGAACAAGATGCGTGCCGTGTGAACGTACCCTCGCTGACCAACACACAATTCTGCACCAACACACCAGGAGACGATGCGTGTCAGGTAACTCATGCAGAATTGTTGTTTTAAACTTCCATGGTTCACGGTATCTATATTCATGGTATTTATATGTAATATATCAGTTACTTTGTGATCATGGCGCTTGCAACAGTGCCGAAACATCGGTCACGCAAATGAAGGTGTGTTATGTAAGTTTGTCCAAGTATTTCTCGAAAACCACAAATCAGAATGCAATATTAAGTATATCTTTAGTCTCATTAATAGTAGTAGCTTTAATTTAAGAACAAAAACCTTATAAAATATAATATAATAACTAAAATGAACATTATGTATTCCTATTTCAGGCGGACTCTAAAATTATTAAAACTTAGTTGAGGCGTCAGCCGTCAGTCCACTAAGCTAAGCAGTATTTTGAAATACAAGAGCCACCATCTTACCCCACAAGCCAGAAGAAATCGAGTTGATCTTTTGGCTCTATTTATAAATCGGCGTCTAGGATATTGAAGTAATGGAATCAATAATGAAGGCCTACTCTAAACATAAAAATGTCAATCAGGCCGAAGTTCGTCATTAAATGTTTTAACTTTCTACCTTGTGGCGCTTAGAATCAAGATCGAAAATTTAAGTTACTAGGTTAGGTTATACCGGTGCTATGAAGCAATTCTGGTGGAAGGGTTTCTAATTACGTTGTCAATTATACAATCCTGGTGGCGATTGATAATTTTAAATACAAATATCTCAAAATGTACTAATTTTATGTCGATTTCACTGTGTACCTTCGAATGGATTCTTGTCAACTATCATTTAATCCATTTTAACTTAGGAAAAAACTGATATTATTAATAATAAATAATAAATATTTCCAACACTCACACCAATTAGCCTAGCCCCAAAGTAAGCACTGTAGGTTTGTGTTATGGGATACTAGGGTAACGGATAGAATACATATACCGATACATATATAAGTATATTTATATAGAAATACATATAAACATCCATGACTGGAGTACAAATGCTCGTATTCATCACACAAACATCTCCACCCACCGGGATTCGAACCCGGGACCTCTGGAGTAGGCGGCACCTTGAAACCCGGCGTATAAACCACTTGGCCACGGAGGTCGTCAAATATTAATATTATAGTATTATAATACTTACTTTATACCATAGTGTATTTATCCTTTGCATGGCGGACAGTTCGCAACTTCTTCCAAAATTTCGTTGGGGCTTAGCCAAGGAGCATTCTTTTGACCTTGAACTATAACGCAACAATCAATCGTCAATATATTAAAATTAATAGATATTAAAATTTGCCACCGGAAATAGGCCAAAAGTGAACTTTTTTTTATTTTTTTAAACATTTAACTGCCAAGTTAAGTGCTTAAGTTAGTCTAAAGAAAATTTTACTAGAAAAAATTCCACACCGACCAGGCAGCAAATGGAACTCGAACCCTTCGTTATCCGGGCGAATGCACTGACCGTTATGCTACTGAGGCCCTGATCCGTGTGGAATTTTTTCAAGTAAAATATTCTTTAAAAAGTGAACTTGTTGAAATTGACCCATAAATGGTTTTGAGGAGCTTTTGTTTTGATGGCACAGGTAGTTAGCGCGTTCTGCCTGCGATCGTGGAAGTTAAGCAATTTTCGTGATGGTTGGTCATTGGATGGGTGATCAAAAACTTATTATCTCGAGCTCCTCCGTGCTTAGGAAGGCACGTTAAGCCGTTGGTCTCGGCTGCATCTGCAGTCGTTAGCACCCACCAATCCGCACTGGGTCCGCGTGGTGGGACAGGCCCAATCTCCCTATGCCATTCATAGGGAAGGCCTGTGCCCCAGCAATGGGGTCATTAAAGTGTTATTCCAGTAAAAAATGTCTTAACAATAAAATTGTTTCGGTTCACCAGTTTGGATTCGGCGGCCCGCTGCTGTACGCTGACAAAGAGACAGGCGCATTTTTCAACATCGGCATCTTCAGCTCCGGCCACGTCTGTGCTAACAACGACCAGCCCGGCGTCAACACGCGCGTGCCCCCGCTGCTCGACTGGATCGTCGTGAACTCGCCCGACGCTGATTACTGTCCTTTACAATAATAGCGTGTTTTATTTTTGTCATACAGTATGTTTATGATGGCCAATAAAGAACTTTTCATTTTATTCATTTCATTATTTTCATCTCCTACGCTTACTGCATAGTTTATACCCGTTATATTTTTTTTATCTTTGGAGGAATACAGCATGGGTTTCTTCAAAAGAAACATAGAGTCGTTTTGATGATTCGACGACGCCTATGTGATGCTCCTGAAGCTGCAAGCGTCCATAGACCATGGTGACCGCTTACCATTAGGTAGACCGTGTATTTTTAGACATTTTAATTAAATGATTTTAGACATTTTATTTATAATGATGTATTTAACGTCTCTGCCAATTTTCAGCTCTATGCGAATTATTCCTAAGTTATGACTTATATTTGTCTATTTTGACTGGACTATAGAGAGAATTAACTTGTCCACACAGTCAGTAGAAATAGCATGTAAAGAGCCATCTAAAAACGAAGAGGATGAAGATGAAGATTTTACTGATTTCAGTACACAAGTCATTGCCTACATAGCAGGCAATGTGGTTCATGTCCTAATTAAAGAAATCAAATGCGATATTTTCCCTGGAGCCCTAATATCAGATTCAAGTAATAATTACCATAAATTTATTTCGTTAAAAGATAAAGGTGGCCTGATATATCCGTCCATGGTGATGTTATAAAAATATTCAAAAGTGCAGAAACTGTAATACGATAATATGCAGATAATTTGAAAACTGTCGTAAAAGAAATTTTAGTCCCAAAAATATAAAAAAGTTTATTGGCACTTCATTATTTGATGACATATCATTTCATCAACTCGGTGAATTCCCATTATCTATCCACGTAACAGATTCAATTAAAGTGGTACCAATTGAAAAATACATAGATATACGCCTATATTTCTTTTGAAAAATAACTTTAAAATATAATAAAGCGTCACCTTTTTCATAAATATAATATTGTTTCAAGGTCAATAAATAACTATCTGTAGTAATGCGTTTTACATTAAATCATTTTCTTTATCTTTACTAACTTTGACAGGATACAAAAAATTCCATACAATCAAGTCAAGTCCAACTCGCACTTGGCATACCTATTTAATATCGATAATATTTCATCGACTCAGTGTCAACCACTAGCGCTAAAATCGGTGTGAACGGACGAACGAACCGAACCGTACACAGAGCTGCCAAATATTCTTGGATTCACACTTGATTAGGTTATCAAGTGTGGATCCAAGAATATTTGTAATGAGCCAACGATTGTTTTCCCAATCTTATCGAGGCGCAAAATTCGCAAAAATCCTATCGTTTATCAGTGAAATTGAGAAATGTCATCGTCATTGTCTTATTATCCGCGTTTTAGCAAATTTTTTTGGCTTCTCGAAAAAATCGATTTATCAAATCAGTCTACAACTTATTTAACACTATACACCAGAGTTCCTATTTCCATCCGTTACCATAGTACTAATCACATAACACTAGCCTTACTGTACTCTTTTGTTGAGGAGATGTATTGGTTCCAGATTTAAGGAAAGTAAAGTTTTCCTAATATTTTGTTACTTTAATTTCAGCTTTACAAGCCACCACTAACACAACAGGCGGCAGGTTTCTTTGTCAAGTTTCAACTGAGAAACAAAATCTATTTGGTAATTAAATCTTCTATTCAAACATGATAATCACCAGCCTATTAATGTTCCCACTGCTGGGGCACAGGTCTTCCCTTGTGGATGGAGAATAGAGAGATTGAGCCATGACCCACCGCGGGGCCCAGTTCGGATTGGTGTGTGCTATGAGTGCAGATGCAGCCGAGACCAACGGCTTATCGTGCCTTCCGAAGCAGGGAGGAGTTCGCGATAATAAGTTAAGGTAATTCAATCCCATCCAATGCAATTGCGAAAGTTGTTTAACTTCTACGATCACAGGTTGAACGCGCTATCCACTTACGCCATCGAGTTCGTCTATTTCCTATTTACTTCTAAGTAAAGGTAAAATAAAATACCTAAGAATTAAATCTTAATTGTTTTAGTTCAAATTCTAGATTAGATCAGCCGTGGTTCAACACGTGGTTCGGCTCCATCAAGGAAATCACATCGCAACTCAATTTAAATCACCATTATAATAAATAAATTGTACTTTTATTATATTTTTGAAGAACAAGAGAATCGATACATTTAATTAAATTCGAAAACGATGGTACACACGCGACTACTGTAACTACCTAAAAGCGAAATAAACTAATCATCATCATCATCATCAGCCTCTTAATGTCCCCACTGCTGGGGCACAGTCCTTCCCCATCATCCATAGGGAGATTGGGCCATGACCAACCACGCGGGCCCAGTGCGGATTCGCGGGTGCTAACGACTGCAGATGCAACCGGGACCAACGGCTTAACGTGCCTTTCGAAGCACGGAGGAACTCGAGATAGAAATCTTTGGTCACCCATTCAATGACCGACCACTGCGAAAGTTGCTTAACTACAACGATAGCAGCCGAACGCGCTAACCACCTGCGCCATCGAGCTAATAAAGTAATAAAATAACTAAAACATGTTACTTTATTTATTTTAAAATTATTGATTCTACTTATTGAAAATTAAAAAACAGAACTAATAAATATTGTGCCACAGCGCGTTCGCCTTTCGATCGTGAGATCGTGTAGATTTAGAATTTAGACTTGCGCCAAATCGAACGCGCGTTCTTAACCTTAATCCTGAATATATAAATTTTAAGTTAAGGTAAATGCTTGTAATCCTACTATAATATTATAAATGTGAAAGTTTGTATTTTTGGTACACAATCACGCAAATATTACAGAACAGATTTGGCTAAAATTTGGTACCTATGCATATAGCTTGTGACGTGGATTGAGACATAGGGTACTTTATACCCAGGAAAAATGGTAGGTTTCTGTGGTTTTCTCAAAAACTTAAGTTGACGCGGCGCAGGTGGCCGCTAGTAAAAAAATGTCATTTACTTTTCTACTTATACTTGCAATTAAAAAAATTTCACCTTCGCTTCCACAATTGGAAGAACATTTCATCGTTCTACTAGAAACTTTACCAGAGCTATGGAATACCCAACATAAAAAAAATGTTATAAGTATAGATTTGTTCATGGACTTGCAATTAAACATAATTAATAATAATAAACACAATGTTTACAAAGTCTGCTTGGATAGCTGGGAATTATTATTATCAATGCTTCAAATTGTATTACACAGATGGCACCACTTTACTACGGAAAAGCTAGCTTGAAGATGGCCGCCTGTGTATTAATTGATTTTTCGCGCGTTTTTCCTCGCCTCTCACTCATTTCGTCCCACTTGGTTCCGGCTCATTCCTACATTATTCAATTTTAAAATATTTATTTAGAAAGGGTTATTTCTTTCGAATGTACAATGATTTCAGAAAAACGGCAAGCGGTTTTTTATTTAATTTGATACCCGTATTTATAGAGGTGCAAAGAAATGTGCAATAATTTTCCAGTGTTTTGTTATTTTTAATTTAAGTAAAAAAATTGTGATATCTTAGATATGAAATTTTTAGTAAAGAGGTAGTGATGAAATACAGAAATGCCGAAAAGTATTCCTTTCCACATCGTTTACGCGACAAGTAAGTTCTTAAACATATTAACTACTTATAAATATTTTACAAGTGAATTTTTAAACGTCAAGATTAATTAATTTTCATAACCACACATTTATATTATACTAAATTATTCAGTAGTACTTACATACAGGGAAAATTAATTCGTTAAGTTTTCTTCTTGTACTTTAATTAAGAAAACAGAATAGTAGTTTCGTTAATTTTTTTTGGGATTTCCATTTTTTTGCATTTTTATGCTTAGGCAAGCAATTATCTTTTATAGTATTTTACACGAAAATGTTAAACTTATTCAATCAAGTAAAAAAAAGTAATATATATTATATACAACAATTATCGAAAGATTCATTCAAGGACAATATAGTTATATTGATTGCACTTAAGACCGTAGGAAGATTGTAAAATTATTTCATTCTTGAGTAGGTAATTACCTACTACTTACGTACTTAGGAATGGTACGTAGTACTAACTATGGTAGTTGTTGGAGAGAGGTAACGGATTTTGCCCTGGAATTGGAGCGCCCGTCAGGTGAAGTAATCTACACCTTACACAAGATCATAGTAAAATTACACTACTTTTTGGCGGTGTTGTGATTCTTAGGGTAGGCAACCTCGCATAGGTACGACTTATATTTTTTTTGGTATCGAAGCCAGGGTTGCCAACCATAGAATTTTTTTCCTCATACATTTGCAGCTAAAAATGTCACACGATTTGCACCCCCCCTTTGCAACTCTGGAATTGTTAAATTTCTAATTATAATTGAAAAAATCTGGTACATATGAGTAGTGTTCTCGTACCTACCTCGTACAGAAGACGGCTCACCTTTCCATTATATGTAATTGAGTTGCAAGCTGAAATTTTTGTCACGCAAAGTATTAACTATTAAAAACACGTACACGAAATCTTTTTTGGCGGAAACGAATAGAACTCGAGAAAAAAATTATTGAAAATTAATATTTTTGTAGGTTATGAGTCATTTTGACAACATTTTTTTTTCGCAATTTTCATGATCAGTGCTGCCATTTTTTTATGCAAAAATAACATGTTTCTCGTTGTCTATGGTAAATATAAGTTTATTATGTTGGTACTATTGTCATAATGTCACAATTTACCGCCATTAATGAGATCTGTCAGTCAGTGTTTGTGTTTAAACTTGTTTTATTTAAACGGCTAAACTGTATATCTAAGGCCCAAGTGGTGATACTTCACACTAGGTTAGGTTAGGTTAGTGTTGTGACCTTAACGCGCGAGCCGAGCGAGCGAAGCGAGCGTGCCGCGGCAGCGGCCGGCGAAGCGCCAGAAAGAAAAATTTGTTAATAGACTTTTTCTACAGAAAAATCAAATATCACCTCTAGGCTCTGGAAGTACAGATTTACCTTTAAAACTCCTCAAATTTTTATAATTATCATTTCTGTAAAAGGAACGCCGGGAGGGGGGGGGGGGTTACCCTTCCCTCTGAGGGGTCTTCCCTAATACCTATCCCCCTGAAATTCCACTACATATAACAGATTTTATGAAATTTTAGGTTAGGTAAAAAAAAAAAAACTGCATTTCCGCCAAAAATCATTTATGGCGGGGGGGTCGGGGGGAGCCCCCCCTCCCCCCCCCTCTACAAATTACCCCGAAATTCAATTACATATAATGGAATTAAGTAATAATAATAATATATTTATTTATTTCTCCTCACAAC